AGCTTGTCCGGGATCGTGTGAGTCCGTGTGCTATGTCGACGTCAGTCGTGACGAGAAAGAGACGCCTGGTGTAGTCTTCGGAGCCTGCGACGGAGTCGGCAGCGTCAGAGACGACGGCTCTCCAAGCCGTACTTCTGGAAATGCGGCAGATGCGTCAGGAGCAGGCACAACGGGATGAGGAGCTCGCTTTAACGCTCCGCCGGCATAACGAGGAGCTCCAACTTCTACGGGGAGACCGGTTACTTCATCCAGGAACACAGCTAATTCCTTCCAATATAAGAGCGAATCGCGGTCCTGAAGTAGGTACCCTTAGTGCGGGAGACGGCGCGCAAAGTGAAATCGGTTACAAACTAAAGCCTGATATGTTTGACGGTGCAGTTCCGTGTTACGGAAGTTTTTCTCCCAATTTAATCTAATTGCGCGCGCAAATCAGTGGGACATTACGGCCAAAACCGTGGCTCTGGCGTCGAGTTTAAGGGAAAAGGCGCTTTCCGTTTTAGAATCGGTGGAGGATTTAGAAAAGTTTGAGATACGAGGAACTTAGATCGAAATTAGAATTACGTTTCGGTAAGAGACAGTGTTCGCAAAGTTAGTATATACAGTTTACGAATAGAAGACAAAGATTTGGGGAAAATTTTGCTACTTTTGGGTCCGAATTAGAAAGGTTCTCTCGATTAGCTTACCCTGAGTGTCCCTGCGTGGTTCGGGACAAGATCGCCTGCGCCCAATTTATCTCTTCTCTTATGGATGGATGCATTAGAAGGACTCTTCAGCTGGAAGGGATTACCTCGCTGAAGTTGGCCATAAAAAGGGCAAAAGCCGTGAAAATTATACTGAGAGATAATTTTGACAAAAAAAAGGGGTTTGAAAAACGATTTGAGAAAGGGAAGGATGTGAGCGCGAAGAGTTATGAAAAGGGAGAGGGAAACAAGAGGGTCGAAGAAAAAGGGAAGAAGGTAAATGGTTATAGTAGGGAGGGTTTAAATAGAACAAGAGAGTGTTGGCAGTGTGGGAAGGTGGGACATTTCCGTTTTGATTGTCCCGAGAATAAGGGAAACTCGGATTAGTTGCTCTCGGCGGAAGGAGGACAACGGAAGACATTACCCCGAATGTTAACAGTCCCCAAGTGTTTTCTATTAATCGGATTAAGTCGAGTTCCAATTATTTTAGTTATAAGGGGAGGTTAGATGGTAACGAGTGTAGTTTCAAAATAGATACGGGCTCAGACGTTTCGGTTCTCAGTAGGAGAATGGTTAGAGAGGGCAAACACATTATCCAAACTGAGGAAAATTTTTTTAGGTATCCCTCTGGAGAAAAAGTTCCAATCGAATTCAAGGTCATCGCAAGGGTCCTTTTAGGGAGGTATTCCGTGGAGATTCCTATGTACGTAATCGAAATGGATGATGATTGTTTACTGGGTGTAGATTTCTTGGAGAAGGTAAATTTAGAAAATGTTTTTGAATTTGCTTTTGGTTCTTCAGAGTCTGGCAAAAAAAAGGTTTTGAGTTGTTCTCGAATCCAAGTTTCTTCCGAAAGAGCCCCATTCTTGAAAGAGCTCTATACTAACAATTCTTCAAACGAGACTCAAAAGGAAATCTTTTCAGATTTTTTAGAAGAGTACCAGGACGTATTTTTCGAGGAGATTGTTGCTGGAAATTGTGGAATCGTGGAGCATGTCATCAATTTAGAAAATTCTTTTCCTATTAAGCAAGTTCCTCGTCGAATTCCCTTACGAATGCGAGATAAAGTAGATAAGGTTATTGAGGAAATGAGGAAACAAGGGGTCATTGAAGAGTCACAAAGCCCGTGGGTTTTACCTGCTGTTTTAGTGAGAAAAAAAGATGGGACGTTAAGGTTTTGCGTCGATTTTAGATTAATTAATGTAATAACTAAGAAAGATTCGTTTCCTTTTCCCAGAATAAACGATATTTTCGATCAGTTTTCAGGTAACTTTTGGTTTTGCACTCTAGATCTTAAAAGTGGTTATTGGCAGATAAAGATTCGTTCCGAGGACAAGGAGAAGACTGTCTTTTCTATTGGATGAGAATTATGGCAATTCACTGTAATGCCTTTTGGGCTATGTAATGCCCCCGCTTCCTTTCAGCGGTTAATGGAAAAAATATTGCTAGGGTTATTATATAAGATTTGTTTGATCTACTTGGACAATGTGATAATTTTTGGTAAAAATTTTGATGAAATGCTGGAGAATTTAAGGAAAGTACGATTTCGTTCAACTGATCTTAAAGTAAACCCTAAAAAGTGTATTCTTTTTGCGAAAAAAGTGAAATACTTGGGACATATAGTCTCTTCGGGGGGCGTTACTACGGATCCGGAAAAGATCTCTGCTGTGAAGGATTGGCCGATTCCGCATAGCAAGAAGCAGCTTCGAAGTTTCCTTGGGTTCTGCTCGTATTATCGGAAGTGAGATTCCGCTTCATTAAAGAAGGTTTCCGCTCGCGTGAGATTGCCCAAAATAGAAATGCCTACCTTTTCCGGTCAATACGAAAAATGGCACGCCTTTTACGACGTATTCAATTCCTTAATACATTCGAACCAATCAATAAATGACGTGCAAAGATTCCATTATTTGAAATCCTCGTTAAAGAGCGAGGCCGCGGAGAGCATAGCCTCGCTAGAAATTTCGGGCATAAATTATGTGAATGCTTGGGCTAGATTGCAAGAAAGTTACGATAATAAAAGGTTGATTGTGCAAAATCATATAAATGCGATATTTGATTTACCAGCGGCGAGAAAGGAAAACGGAACTGCGATTAGGCAAATACTAGATGGCGTTCTAAAGCATACTCGAGCCTTGCAGGCACTGAAAAGGCCCACGGATCAATGGGACAATTTGCTGATCCACATAGTGACTAGCAAATTGGACCTCGCCACCATAAAGGAGTGGGAAAACGCGCTGGGACCGACCATTATGCCCAATTTCCAGGAACTAGTCGCGTTCCTAACTAAAAGATGCCAAACGTTAGAAGCGGTAGCAAATCAACAATCGCATGTAAATACAAACTCACGTAAGGGTGGACCCAATAAAATTACCGCTGCGCATGCGACTGCCGCAAATGCTAAGTGTGTTTATTGTAAAGGCGAGCATCAAATATACCAATGTAAAACGTTTCAAGGGTTAACCGTGGAAGAGCGTACCAATCAAGCGAGAATCAAGGGCCTGTGTTTAAACTGCCTACGGCCTAAGCATTTAGCTAAGGATTGCATAGCTGGTAATTGCAAAAAGTGCGGTAAAAAGCATAGTTCGCTGTTGCATGTAGAGACGGGAAATGATACGGAAAACAAAGCTAAGCAGTCAAACCTAAAGCCGGAACAAGATTCGAATACGAATAGCGTCTCGTGTAATCATGCAAATTTAGTAGAAGCTGCAGCGCCGAAACAAGTGTTGCTCTCTACAGCGGTAGTAAGGATTAGAGATAGGCGCGGCCAGTTCATAGAGGGAAAGGCGCTGCTAGATAACGGATCCCAATCCAATTTCATCTCGGAGAAATTTATGAATAAGCTAGGGCTCCGGGGTAACAAGACACAAATCCACATTAATGGGATAAACCAGCAAATCTCACGCGCCTTAAAAATAGTTGACCTGAGCGCCACTTCCCGCTTTGATTTATTCAATACGGATTTAAAATGCGTAGTAATACCTTGCATCACGAGAGGCCTGCCCGCGGTTAAAATAGATGCGGGGGGACTAGAGATACCGAACAATATTAGATTAGCAGATCCTAAGTTCCACATTCCAGGGGAAGTAGACTTGTTGATAGGAGCCGAAAAATTCTGGGATCTCGTCTGTGTAGGACAAATCAAGCTGGGCAAGAACAAGCCAACCTTGCAAAAAACAACGCTCGGTTGGATAATAGCTGGGGTCGTGACAGGGCAAAATAGCGACGCTAAAAGTATTTTTTGCCATTTAAGCATGGAGGAAAGCTTATGCGAGGCAGTAAATAAGTTTTGGCAAATAGAGGATAGTTTAACTCAAAAGAGCTTAACGGAGGAAGAAAAATGCGTGGAGGAATTCTTTGAGAACACCTATTCGAGGGATGCCAAAGGTAGGTTTATAGTAAAGCTGCCGGTGAATCGAAAAATATTAGATAAGTTAGGCGACTCCGAGAGTCACGCGATGAAACGGCTTCTATCGGTAGAAAGAAAGTTAAAGAAAAATCCAGAACTTGGGGCCGAATATGTTAAGTTCATGAACAAATATTTGGAGTTAGGGCATATGAGGCCGGCTAACAAATCAATATCTAAGACGAAAAGGATCTTTTTTCCCCATCAAGCCGTAATAAAAGAAGAGGCCACTTCTACCAAAACGCGAGTAGTATTTGATGCGTCAAGCAAAGATTCAAAAGGCCTTTCTCTAAACGACGCATTGTACAATGGTCCCGTGATTCAATCCGATTTGTTCTCTATTCTGCTGCGATTTAGATTCTTTCTATATGTGCTGTGCGCGGACATACGGAAGATGTACAGGCAGATTAGGGTCCATGAAGAGCATGCAGAGCATGTGCCTTTACAGACTATCCTTTGGCGACCAAACCCCGCGGCGACGCTCCTAACTTTAGAACTACTTACCGTAACATACGGCCAGAAAGCATCCGCATTCCTGGCAATCAAATGCTTGCAGAAATTAGCAGAGCTCGAGAGAAAAAGATTTCCCTTAGCTTCAGAGGTCGTTGTCAGGGATTTCTACGTAGATGATCTATTAACCGGGGCTGCCACGATGCAAGGCGTCAAGGATTTAAAAAAGCAAGTAACCGATCTATTGGCGCTGGGAGGCTTTGAGCTTCACAAATGGAATTCATATACAATTAGATCCGCAAGAAAAGGCGCGCGTAAAAAAACCATCGGTGAATTTGTGTAAAGAACAAGAATCAAAGCTACTAGGCATCTTATGGGATCCGAGTAGAGACATATTACTTTACAAAAGTCCGATTGTCAAACAAGAAAACAGGATAACAAAAAGGGTAATGTTAGCAGAAGTATCTATGCTGTTCGATCCATTGGGATTGGTAGGCCCTATAATTACCGCGGCGAAAATCTTAATACAATCCTTATGGGCATGTAATGTTTGGTTGGGACGATTCGGTGCCCATGAGGATTCACAAGGCTTGGTGTCAGATAAAATCCCAACTACACCGTTGGAGTTTATAGAGATTCCCAGGTTGGTAATCTCGAAAAATCCCGACTCTGGGATACAGCTGCACGGGTTTTGTGACGCGAGCGAGCAGGCATACGGGGCATGCATATACGTGAGAGAAGACGGCGTTTTGACTGCTTTACTTTGTTCCAAATCTAGAGTGGCGCCGTTAAAAACATTGTCTCTGCCACGGTTAAAGCTATGCGCGGCGGTTCTTTTGATTAGATTGATGAACAAGGTGGCCTCCATCCTAAACGTGAGAGTGTACAAGCGTCGTTATTGGACGGATTCGCAAATAATCCTAGCATGGTTAAGTTCGCCGGCGAGACGATGGAAGACGTTCGTCTCAAATCGTGTTAGCGAGATACAGGATGGCTCGTCGCCCTCTGCGTGGCACCATATAAAGTCAAAAGAAAACCCGGCTGATTTGATCTCTCGTGGTGCAACTCCGGAGAAATTAAAGGGTTCAACACTCTGGTGGGAAAGTCCGCGATGGTTACGCTTGAGCGAAAATGAATGGCCTGCAGAGGGCGCAGAACTATCCAGCAAAACTGTACTCGAAGAGCGGGTAGAGGTACTGATGGCGGAAACCTCCTTGCAGGAAGCAATCATACCCTACTATCAATACTCCTTGTTAGGCAAATTGTTGCGGGTAATAGCGTACATCTTAAGATTTTGTTACAACTCGAGATACGGGGTGAAAAATCGTAAAACGGGTTGCATATCCGCGTCGAAAATAAACAAAGCGCGGGTCGCGTTGATCCGGATCACTCAGGCGCAAAAATTTGAGAAGGAAATAAAATTATTAAGGTGCCACGAAAGCGTTCCCAGAGGTTCTAGGTTGTACAGCCTAAATCCATATCTAGATAACTGTGAGATACTGCGAGTAGGTGGAAGGCTGGAAAACGCGCAGCTGCCCGAGGCCACCAAGCATCCGATCATACTGCCGATCGACGCACCACGTCGCGAGACTGATCATCAGAGACAAGCATCAAAAATTGTTCCACGCGGGCGCTCAAGCGATGCTAACCTCAATAAGGGACGAGTACTGGCCTCTCGCTGCGAGAAACGAGGTCAGGAGAAGCATTCGGAATTGCGTGAGATGTGCCAAGGCGTCGCCCGTACTGTGTCAGCAAATTATGGGTTAGCTCCCGAAGGCTCGGGTTACTCCTGTTAGGCTGTAACCGGACGATGGATAATCGGGCTACAAGACACGCTATTTTGTTTTATAAGTCATCGGTCGCCACTCGGTTTGAGCTATTTCTACCGAGAAGGTAAGTATCTTTGACGTGAACGACGATATGGTCAATCAATTTGTTTAAATAATTCTATTTTTAGAATCCCGCCACGGGGTCCTCTTCACCATCGCCCGTCCTCAGGGACTCGATATCAATCGCCTCCCAAAGTCGCCCAGGTTCAACGATGGATGACCACCGCTTGATCAGGTAAGCACGTGTCCACTAACTCCCTAATCCTTCTTCCTTTTTAGATTCCCGCCACGGGGTCTTCATCTGCGTCGTCTCCTCTCGGATACCCGATATCAATCACCGGCCTGTCTCAACGTGCAACCAAGATGGCGCGACAACCGCTTGATCGGGTAAGTCCCAGCATCAAGGTTAATTAACTAATTAATTCTCTTTTATTTTCAGGTTTCCACTACGCGATCTTCATCACCATCGCCGATGTCATGGATCACCGCTGCTCACCGCCGTCCAGGATCACCGCGTATGGAAGATGTCGCGACACGAGATAAGTATGAGAACTGTCGCCAGAACTATGTTTAATGCCGTTTCTTTTCAGGTTTCCGCCACGGGGTCCTCGCCTATGGCCTCCTCCGTTGCAGACCCGATGATAATCTACGACCCGGATGGGCTCCCACGCAAGATGGCTGACCACTCCGCTTGATCAGGTAAGTAGAAGGTAAGAAATCGATAACTACGTATATATTTTCACAAATGATTCTTCCATTTATTCAAGATTGTCATTTCACACGGATGGTTGTTCACAATTGTTGTTCCCGCACAAGATGGCGGTCGCACGTCTCGCAAAGTGCGAAGTTTTCGTTTACGGTACGTCAAAACCATTTGCCTTTCGTATCGGCGACGAGTAACACGTTTCGCGGGCGTTCCCGTTTGTTTCGGACGCTGTGGTACGTTCAATTCGTAATTCGGTACGTAATCGCGATAATTACAACGACACGCCGAGATATACGCACGAGACAGGTGTTATACCTACGAGCGCCCACGAGAGACTGCCTCAAGGAATATTCCTCTCTCGGGCTCCTTACCTCTGGTAAGTTACCCCTACCATGGGGTCTCGGCCGCTTTCTCTTCGCGGTACTTTTTCGTTCTCCGCGTTAACAATAGGTGTTGACAACTTCTGGCCGTGCCAGATGTTCGCGGTGAAAATTTCCACTTGTAGTACCATGTACGCGATGCCCTGAAACGGCCCCCGAATAGTGGTTTTCCACCACTCGTAATTTTCAACCTACGACGACGCCGTGCGCACGTCTTCTCCTACGTTCCTTTAGGCGACCCCGGGTCGACTTCTCGAGGAAGATGTCTGGGTCGCGTTCGCGACGTCCGCCGTTGACGGCGAACCCCGGGTCTCGTTTTCACGGCCCGGTCTTTCCGGACTCAGTCCCTGTGGACGACGTCCGGGTATCGACTTGGCCGACACGTCGCCGTATCTCGCGTCCGGGTGATCGGATTTTGACGGCGACCTGTTCCTCGGGTGTACCAGGTCCCGTTGGCTGTGACCCGCTGGGTTTTTCCTGCGGATGACGTCTAGCTACCTATCTGGTTACCCAGCGGTCGGATCGCGTCGCTCTTCGGCCGGTCCATGCGGTTTGGACCATGTGACTATTACTCGCGTAGCTCTCACGGTTTCGGTACTCGGTGACCGCGCTATTCCAAATCGTTATACGCTTCGCTATATTCCGCGACTAGTGCGAATCTGGGCTCGCGTGCCCCGCGTTAAAGATTGTGTGTGGCTCGACCGCCGTGCTTTTCCGCGCGTTACCGCGATCCATGCGCAAAGCAAACAAAAATCATAATCATATCTCAAGGTCGGGCCGTGTACTTTATTGCCGCTCAATGAAAATAAATGAAAAATGGATCGGGAAAGAAACATATTTAAATTTTTAATGAAATGAGCCGTTGCTCGGCGACCGCTGGCGCAAACCTTATTCTAAATGCGCCGGACGGATCAAAATAACACAAAATAAATATTGTTACTTGTTGCTAACGGGAAGACAAAATAAGAAGTCGTGGGGCTTAGGCTCCCTATCGGGATCCGTCCTCGGAGCGCTATGAGAGGGCTGGCCTTGACCGGGGCATCTTCTTATTCGTCCGAGGAGTCCTCCCCCGAAGAAACGCTCCGGAACTCCTCCTCGTCCGGCTCGTCCTGTGCCGCGGATTGCGGCACCGCCGTCAATACTACCGTCTCTTGGACGGTGGTTCGGGTAAGCTGCACCTGGAAGGCGCAGCCAAACGCCTCGGCCGCTCGCCTGATCGCCTCCATCTCCTGCGGCGAGCCCCATCGCTCGGTGCTTGTCATCGTTCGCACCGCCTGGTGCGTCGTGACACCTCTCGAGGTACATGGGACCATGTCCCATGTGCTCAGTTCCTCGACGTGTCGAGGTAGCGGCGTTTGTGCCCGCTCCGCGCGATGCAACTGCTCCTGGGAGAGTCGCTCCAATACCACTCGGGGCTGTCCGATTAGCTGCGCGCGCACCGTTTTAGCGGACGGCTTCAAGGCCATTTCACAACACTGGAGTGGACTACTGTGGTCCGTTCTTAGTCCGTGACAGAGTGCGGAGAAATAGCAAACAGTACAAGGCTTATGTTGCCATCTTCGTTTGCATGGTGACTAAGGCTGTCCACCTGGAACTGGTCGAAGATATGACCACTGCGGCCTTCATAGGAGCCCTGAAAAGGTTCATCTCCTGAAGGGGGAAGGTGGTAAACATGTACTCGGACAACGGGCTGAACTTTCGAGGTGCAGATAACGAGATGCAGGATCTATTTCAAAGTCCGGATCTGCAGCACGCCGCCGCTGAGGAGCGCTTGAACTGGCATTCCATACCGCCAAGGGCCCCCCACTTCGGCGGATTGTGGGAAGCTGCCGTTTGGTCGATGAAACAGCATTTGACGAAGACTATAGAAGATGCATCCCTTACGGTGGTAGAAATAATGACGGTATTGGCCCAGGTTGAAGCAATTCTTAATTCGAGGCCATTAACGCCGTTGTCGGACGATCCCCTGGACTTGAGCGCATTGACACCTGCTCATTTCCTGATAGGGGATTCTTTCACCTCATACCCAGAGCCTGATATTCTAGACGTACCCATGAACAGGCTTTCTCGGTGGCAACACGTGGAGCGGTTGAAGCAGCACTTTTGGTCGAGATGGTCCAAGGAGTATCTAGCCGTTTGTCAGGGAAGAACAAAGTGGAAGTCCGAAACCCACTCCAACCTAGAAGTAGGCCAGCTGGTTATGCTGAAGGAAGATGAGTCCATGCCGTTGAAATGGGTGCTGGCGAGAATTGATGGCGTTCATCACGGTTCAGATGGCGTAATACGAATCTTAACTGTCCGTATTAGCAAAGGCATTTATAAAAGACCGATTGTAAAGATTTGTCCACTTTCTGTCGAAGAGCCCGAAGCTCAGAAAAACAAACGTGCTCCACATTAGGTTAAGGCCAGCAAGCGAGGCACGGTAGGTCGCGACTTCATTTTGTTTTAGTTGAAAATATAAATATTTGTCAAGGCGGGCGGCATGTTCAGAGGTGAGCATTATGGTACTCCTAAATGTGGTTAAAGTATTCAAACTCGGTTGCCTGCCCCTCATGCTGCGCACCTCCTACTCCTTTAACTGTTAGCCGTGTGTGGCGCTAGGGCGGATGCCGCCCCTACTCTCGAGTTTCCTAGCTATGCGCGGCGAGCAAGATCAGATCGTTAACGATTGTCGAAGGAGGTTGTTCACGTGTCTCGTAATAAAGTTCTACTTCAGTATAAACGAAAGTTTCACTAATCGTGAAAAAGAGCTTAGTGCATTACACCCCCTGCACTGACGAACATGGGTAGAAGCTTTTCCTCTCAGGAATATTAGGGCAAATACGGTGGCAGAAGTCTTTGTTTATCAAATTATTTCTAGACACGGAGTCCCCTTGGAGGTCCATACGGATCAGGGAAAAAATTTTGAGTCTAAACTTTCTGCAGAATTGATGAATCTCCTTGGTATTAGAAAAACGAGAAAAACTGATTTACATTCACAATCGGATAGGCAAGTCAAGCGGCAACATCAGACTATTATTAATTATTTAGCGAAGTATATTTCTGAAAACCAGAGGGATTGGGATCGCTGGGTTCCTATGTTTTTATTAGCGTACAGATCTTCTAAGCACGAGGCTACTGGAATGACTCCCGCAGAACTATATTTTGCTCGAAATCTTAGGTTGCCGTTGGATCTGTTTTTAGGAAGTCCTCCGAGAGAAAGGACTCAATCGGTTGGAGGTTTTGTTGAGAGGTTGAAGAAGAAATTGGATAGGATCCATTCCAACGTTAAGAAGCGAATGGACGTGAGGTCTTTGCGAGTAAAGTCCTGGTATGATCGGAAGGCCAGGCAGACTCTTTTTCAAGAAGGGGAAAAAGTTTGGTTTTATAATCCTCGAAGGATGAAAGGTAGAGCCCCTAAATTGCAGAGCAATTAAGAAGGACCTTTTTTAATAGTGAAAAAGTTGAATGATGTGGTCTATTGTATTCAAAGGTCTGTGAGACATAAGAAGAAAATTGTGCATGCGGATAGGTTGGCTTCCTTTTCCGAGAGACAATAGAGTTTGATAGGGAACAGGGCTTGTTATGGACTAAGTTGGGTGTGATAATTTGTGGGAAAGGTTAATTACGGTAGAAATTAAGATTGTTGTGTCACATTGTTTACTGCGCGTGTTATTTTGTTCTTAGAAATTTACGGAAGCTGAAGCGGTCGTAACTCCTCGCCGAGTTGGACATCTTGGGAGCTGGCTTGTTGCCAAACCTAATACCGGCAAAGGATAAGTTACGAAGCTAGAAGACTGCCTCTCTCACGGTTGTTTGATCCGTGGTTTTTTCGTGAGACATAAGGCAAATGCAGAGGCAGAAACTTGGGGAGTCTTTCGAGACGTTGGGTCCACGGTAAG